CTCTCTTTTTAATTCTCATCAGAACTCTAGTTGCAGCATTTTGGACAAGCTAAAGACTTAACTACACTCCTTGGACTTCCTGAGAGTAATCAATTACAGAGTCTTGATGTAATAAATGTGTAAAATAGTTTTTCAGCATCACTCAGGGAAAGCATGATTCTAATCTTAGCAATATTCCAAAGATGGAAGAAGGAAATCCTACAAACCTGCAAGCTTATGGCACATGATAGCCACTCCTGCTACATCTACATGTTCCAACCTACTTCAGTGTCAGTACTATTTAAACGTTGGTCACAGCAACGCTACCGCAGAGCTACGCTACACCAAACATCTGTCAATACCAGCCTGAGCTGCTAGCTTCAGCTGCTAACATTATCCATGTTGAAAGAGAGGAAAACAAGCATTTACCACTCTGGTTCCAGGATGCAAATGGTAAAATCCAGACTATAAAATAATGCCAGATAGATCCGTAGCTTCTGGTCTGGTCCATTGCTCTTTTTATTTGTTCAACAGCAACTCTTCTACAAACAGCCGAACCTCACTGCACACACATTCTTGACATATCGCCTAAGTTGGGACTTCATTGAGGAACCCTGACTGTACTTTCACTTTCTGCCTTTACTTGTCTTGCTTCAAACCCCTTCCCCTGTCGGCTGAATCAACAGTCAAAGCCGCCAACACTCACCACTATCACCCACCCACAAAATATACACACACACAATAGCTCTTATTTTCAAACGGGGACAAGCGTTATGTTATGTTTTGTGTGAAAATATGCCCAGTACTACAAATGCGCATCACCAATTTGATGTCATCAAGCCAGACACGTAGAAAAGCAGAGGAAAATTGGCTGTAAATTCAGCTAACTATTAATCCTTCCTTCGGGAGGAAAGAACCACCATGAATCTGGCCACGTGGTAAGTAGCAGCTACACTAGGGGAGAGGAGATTCTGTGGTGACGTCATATAATATGCAACGTGCTGATGTCTGATTTGTAGTCATGCTGACTTTTACAAGTTAAATGACAAATCTCAAAGTACATGACTGGTGTGGTCAAAGCACACTTCATCACTTTTCATTTTAATTTAAGTACAACATATGTGCGATCCAGGGCATGAGGCAAAGCGGAGTGGAAAATAGCTCTTTTATCCCGTTGACTCTCATTCATTTTTTTGTTCTTCCCGGGACCCATGAGCCGACCATAAAGGGACGAGATTTAGGCTCCCCATCATCCCTTTCTCCCTATCATAATGAGCGTGTTTTATTAGGGCACCTGGGACATTTTAAGCTCCAACAAAATGTTATTTGCTTATAGAGGCTCAAAGATCAGTTTCCATTTGTAATAAACCCCATTCAACTGCCGCTTTTCCTCAAAAAGGAAAAACCCACCCCAGGTTTTGAACGGGACTTAATGGAACCATCAGCCTACTTGTTTTGGCACGATAACTTGCTGTAGGTGCATTTTTTCCATTTGCAACTGTCAGAAACAGGTTTGGTCTGATATTTGAATGGCTTTTAACTCTTTATCTTGAGAGGTCTGCATTTGTGGTGCAACTGCAATGAAACACTGATACACCTGTTAGAGCTGCTTGTTTTAATTAGTAACAATCACTTTTCTCCTCTGTCTGACTTTTAAACCAGAGCAGTTGGTTGAAGTAAGGCTGCACATGAAAAGCTACAATAACCATGTCTGACAGAAGTCCCACAGTTTGTGGGTGTTCAGCTATCAAGGCCGGATTAACCATATGGGCAACTGGGCAGGGGTCCATGAACTCTAAAGGGCCCAGGGCAGCAAGGGCACAAGCAAAATACTGGGGGGGGGGGGGGGGGGGGGGGGGGGGTTCTTGTATTGATGAA